CCCCCCCAGTGAGGGCTTTTATAAGTCACATTGTTCAGTAGTGCCATGATTTAAAAGGAAGATTGAGAGTGGCACAATGGAGGCTGGATGTGACTGTAGTTCAGATTCTCTCTTTAGGGAATTATTGGCAGCTTTCTTGCTGTAAACTTGCTAACAGTGTTTTTTTTTATTCGATGCACAAGTAGGGCAAACTGCCAAGGTTATTCTCACGGTTATTACAGAGTGAAATGTAAAACAAAGGCTCATTTAAAGTCTATCTTGGACTTAAACATGCTTGAATTCAGGTCTATATCTGATTAAAACAGGGGGTCAGTACACCTGACCATTAAAGCATTATTGTACTGTGTTGGATGTGTGTGAATAAAGGGTGCATCATCAGGTGCAGATTCAAATACATAAGACACAAAAGCCTCATTCGACTCAAACAGACAGTGACCTGTGCAACAATAATTGATTTGACTCCTCTGTGCTGTAGAGGCTTATACTTACTTGCTCCTACCAAGAACATGTCGCTGCCAAAAAGCAACAGGACCACGGAGTTGACCAGAACAAGCAGACGAGCCATGTCTCGGTGGGTAGCGTTGCTCTTCTCGGATTAAAACGCAGATATCCTATAACGCTTGAAGGGCAACTAAATCACAGCAGTTCATTTTTTGTTGTTTTTTTTTTACAACATGTTGGATCTCCTCTCATGAATGAACGGGTGAATGAATGAATGAATGAATGAACGCTTACTGGCTGAACCAGTGAAAGTACGTAACAAATGATGTCTTCAGAAACATCTTGCCGAGACTGATGCTTCAATTCAGGGCTTTAAATCCACAAGTCCTCCGACCGTGTCCTCGCGCAGACTGGCTGAAACGGGTGACTTCCCATCATCCCCGGGTTCACACGAGAGCTCAGGTACGAAGAGGTCGTGGGAAAAGATGACGCTCGCGGGCTCGTCGGTTCCCGGGGATTCAGCACCACGGGCAGAGCCTCAAGTTGGAGACTGCGCTCGCGCTCCGCAGCTCACTGCTCACGAGCTGGATGTTTATTGACGCACGCGGGGTTGGCCATCCTGCAGTCCTTTCCGGTAGTAGCCCCCCCACCGAGTAGCCTGTAAGACCCCCTTAGTTTTTTTTTTTTTTTCTAGCACTTTCAGCTCAAGTGCACGCGCGGCATACCATGGTTAATCGTCCACGTGCCGTCGAAGGAGGGGGGGGCACTGTAGCGTGCTTCTCAAAGCTGGTTTAATATTTCAGTAGCAATGCCAGAAGCTAATATTTACCGCAATAAGGTGAGGGGTGTTGCGTTGAATGACAGAGATGTTTTCTGTCACAAAATGGATATTTAACCCCCATACTTACAGCAAAAATATATTTAATACTTTATATTTTTTCATTTTTGTTTACCTACAAGTATTCACGTTTAAGCATGCTGAGTTTTAAAGTACTGGACTCAGACTGTAAAACACCCAGTGTGTATGTCTTTTTAAAAAAACACAGAGGCGTGAAAGCATGAAGTGTTTTATTCCAGCCATTGCCCCCCCAAATGTTCTGTAGCATATAATTCCAGCAGGTCGCTCTCGCCCCCATCATACACCGCGCCGCCCAAGACACACCGTGTTATCAGGAAGATGAATCGCATTGATAAGCTGAGAGCATTGCCTCTTGGGACAAGCGTTTCACGTTAGATTGCTCGACTATAAGGACATACTGCAGTCTACACAGCACAACTAATAAGTCATCACATGTGTGGGAGACTAGCTTATCACACCGCTTCTAATTATGAATCAGAAGATGAGTGTATGTGGAAATCATGTCATACAATGTACGAGTTTAAACCCACAATGAAAGAAACCCAAATCCTCCTGAGGCAGATGTGTGTTTGCCCCCTTTCAAACTTTTTATTTTCACATCTATGTCTGTTAGTTTGCACTCAAAACCCCTTTTGTTGTCAAGAAAGGACCCCCCCCCCCAAATCCCTCCTTTAGAGGTGTTGCCATGGTTCCTGTGTCCTCGCCAGTCCTCTGTGCACCAGAGCAGACAGATGGAGGCTTTTGGAAAAAAAAAAAAAGACGTTTAAGCTAGATATTAGATATTGGAGTTACCATGACAGCTGTCTATTTGTAGCTGACATTTCTGTGGCATTTATCTCAATAAGAGCTTTTCAGCTTGCTTCAACAAAGACACTAAAACGTGGGTTTATTGTGGTTAGCACTCACTGTCTGTAAGCCTATTATTTTGTTTTATGTTCTGTTCCTACCTGTAAAGGAATTAACAGACCCACTGTTCCATGTCTTTTCAACTTGTGTATCAAACTTTACTTCCTCCCTGTTATTGATCTCATCTAAAATCATCAGAATTTCCTTGGTGTAAATGTCATAACAGTTTTAGAGGTTTAAGAGTAGTTAGCCTACACAATAGCTGGTTTTCATTGCAACATAACCTGTTGCTCTTAACGCTTTTGCTTCATCCTTAAGACTCAAAATCTGGATACAATAATTTTGCAGTGATATGTCATTTGTGCTTGATTCTAACTACTTTATTTCCTGTAGTTTGTGATGATTTTCAAAGGAGAGAGAATCCCTTGGCTCAGATATACAGCTCTATAACCAGGACTCTACTATGCTGGGGATTTAAATTCTTTGCCCATAAAAAAATCCTCTTGCAGTTTCAGTGCTGTAAGATGTTAACCATCTTTGGATCCCACATTAAAGAGAAATACCACAAGAGCACTAGACCTACAGCCTTTAGCAGTAACATGAGCCAGAAAGTCTTGGCAGCATTACTTACTTCCCTATATTCATAAAAATGTGAAGTATTACAGTACATAAATCTGTCACAACAGTAAGGTTGCTGACGTTTTGTAATCAGTACAGGTCTACTGTATCACTGTGACAAAAACAGCAACAAACCTTGTGTGATTGTTTCATGTTATTTTAAGATATATTGTGTAACATTCCAGCCTTAAAATGTCTATAAACACTAGACCTATTATATATTTTGTTGAATTGTATACTAGCATTACCCCATGTTATGATTATGTTCAAACCTTTGCCTGTCATATCCCCTTTGCACATGCATCAAGCATTGTGGTTCTCGGCCAGAAATTTACTTTTTATTTAGTTTTAGGCCACATTTTTATGATTCATTTTCTTGGTTGTTAACTTTAAATTTGAACCAGATGGAGGATTTTATCTGGATCTTAAGTTATCAGAGAAACAAGCTGAGCTAACATTATAAGAGCTCGGCTCGAAGCCCCTCTGGGTCGTCCTCTGTCTGCGGAACAGCGTCGGAGAGACACAGATTTTTAAAGAGAGACTGCTTTATTCTGTGTTTTTACCAGTTTTATTACGGGGTTCATTTGTTTTGTATATGAGGAGACTTCTGCTGATAATTCAGCTCCTGGTAAAAGTCTGGATCACAAGTGATCAGAGAAATGATCAGAGTTAATGTTAGAAGCAGCTTTCGGCTAGCAGGACCCTGGAAAAAGAATCATAGATTTTTAGTGATAACTGCTTTATTCATCGGTTTTCATGCTCCGGGCTGCCATTTTTTTTGATCAAAATAAATATTCAGGGCCCGAGATATTTCCCTGCTGTTAACAATCAGGGTCTACCCATCATAATGCAGGCTGTAAAGGTAGCAGTCAAATGCAGGAGTTGCTGTAGTCTATTTAAAGTTTTCAAAAAGGGCTACAAAAGTAATGGATGTGAGTGGAAAATAGAAGAAAATTGATCAAAGTGGTAGATACATTGGGGATGGTTTATAGCAGCATTAAAGAGACTTGGAAAGGTCACAAATGCTTCTATCATATGATCTATACAAGCAACACTCAGGCTTATGGCTTTTTAATTTTGCATAGAAGCACTCAACATGTTGCACTTCACTTCTGCTTTGTTCTAATTTTGGACTGAGTTGTTTGTTTTCAACATAATTGCTTGACTGCACCAGTAGCTCCTGTTGCTCTGCTGTTAACGGCATTAGGTAGAATAGTCCTTCATTTTGTGTGTAACCTGGGGTGGGGTTTTACCCAGGTTAACACCACAAATGAAGGACTTTTAAAACTAAATTATTTTTTTTCACTTAGGAAACACAGGATTTTCACTCTGTGTGGGAGCACCGTTTTTGACTGATGATTTGTGTGATAGTGTATGTTACACACACACCTGCGGGTTTGGGAATATTGAATCAGAGAATGTTTTGTAACAGACCGTCTGTGACAGTTGGGTAAATATGATTAAAAAGCAAGACATACAGGCAGAGGACTGGAATGACTGTAGAGCTGACGTTTGTCTCAATTATAGGTTATTATTGTTCTGTTTTTCTCTGAATTGATATGTCTTTCCACTCAGAGTCAGATACTGACTTCCTGTGTTGACAATAGATTTTGTATTATACAGTTTATATACAGTTTTGCAATATCTCATTTGTTGCCCTCAAGTACTTTAAAAGTAGAATTGTGATTGAGATTTCTTATGGTGTCAGCTTGCCATCACCTCAGCATTAAGAGACAATTAATGTCTCTGTATTGTATGAATACACTGACAGAGGTTCACAAACGTTTTCGGACGTGTTTTTCTGTCTGACACGTCCCCACAGCTCTGTCCGATGAACTCGAGTGCCCTTTCATAGACACCATCTGTCATGTTCCAAATGTGTTTATTTGACTTTGATTTTATTTACCGCTGTTGATTATATAAAAGGAGATATTGTCACAGTTATTTTACATAGAAGATATAGGTATCCTGCAATTGTGTGTGTGCGTGTGTGTGTGTTTGTGTAGACCTGGTCCTCTTTAGCTCCCACTGTATACACCAATGTGTCACCTTCACATTACCGGACTGTTGGATTAATCTCACACTTTAACATAGAAATAAGTGTATGCAGGTGGTGTCTTAAAGAGCTTGTTTTTAATGAATAAATTAAGCAAGTAAAAATGCAGAGGACCTTTTTAAAAGGCAGAGGGTCACCTTCAAACCTCTTCCGGGTTTTGAACTCCATGTATCCCTACTCCCCTGCTTCATACTTCACGTTTTTCATTATTTAACTTGAAAACTTTCAAAGAGATTTTGTGTGACAGGGTTAAAAATATCAAAAATAACTTCACCTGGCAGGAGAAAAGACTCAAAATGTTAATTGCTTGGAGTTCAGTGCCCAGTAAAAGAACTAAAGTAATGAGGAGGGGATTTAATAAGTGACCACAGACATGAACTGTTTATGGTTCATTTTGTCCATCCTCCTGATGACTCTCAGGTACTTACAGTGTAAGATTGGAAACAGTTTGCTGGATGACACCTTCCAAAGACCAAAGAGTCTTTTGGCTCGGAAATAAAGCAGTAATGTATCAGCCACAATTTAGTAAAATGGCATGACGGTGTTAAAGCATTGTGCATACTTCCCATGGTATATGAGTTATATCTTATATTAAAGAAACTGTAAATGCAAAAGACAAATACTGTATTAAACCTTTGCTCCTTGTGTTTTTCACTCCAGATCACATGTTAATAAAACACCTCACCTCCACTTTTGTGTTCTGTTCTTCTTTATTTTCCTCTCTTTGACATTGAATGTAAAGAAGAGGAAGAGAGAAAGCATGGTGGAAGAGACCGCTGCTCAAGGTCAAAGCCACATATATGAATATTTACGGTGACATTTGGTACACAAACCACTAGGAAAAGGGAGATGGTGACAGCAGGGATCTTAAAACGGGCAGGAGTGCATTGCTGCATACTGATCAGGGATGATGAGCTGTCTCGTTGTTGAACAAAAGACTCATATGTCCCAGACACAAGATATCAGGTGCTACACAGGTCTGCAGCTGTGTGAAATGTAGCTATCATGTAGCTCAGTTTTCAGTAAAAGTTTTTTGTGATTGTATTAAGTTAATTTAGCTGAGAGGTCGATGCTTGCTCACACCAGAATTCGTTAATTAATTTGATTCTTCATTAGTGACTATTCAATTAAAACTGATCAGATAGAGACAGAAGGTCTAAGAGAACATTGAATGGTCACATTTCAGCCCACATTGCGTAGGCCAGCAGTATCCTTCGGTAGTTTTTACTGCACCAGCGCACATATAATTAAATTTCCCTGTAGTTACCGGTGCCCTTGACTCATCATTGAGCACAACCGTGGTGGTCATCAGATATATTTGTAGAGGTTGGTGGGGTTCCTGTTACCTTGTGACTTTAAAGCTTCCAACGGTAAATGAATTGACACAGGCTCGTATATCAAGAGAAAATAGCAGATGGTTTCCTGAATCCTTCCCAATCAGGCCAAGGAAAGGAAGCAGTCTTCCATAAATTGTGCCCCTGTGTGCAGATTTCTTTTGTTTTGGCTCCATCAAAGAAAATGGAATTGAAATGAATGGCCTCTGCATAAAACTTAATTTTGGTCAAAAAAAGAGAGAAAATAATCAGCCTACTGTATAGATCTATACAACATAAGCCAAGTAAGAAATTGCTCTCTTCTCTTCTTTTGTCTTCATTGTTCTTTTGTTTCATGTTTAGCATTAAGTGCTCAGTACTGACTAGCAACAGAGAGAGCAAAGTGTTTTTCTGCTCTTAATGAACAGCTGCCTGTTGTGTCTGAAAATAAAGCTGATGAGTGATTAAAAACAATAAAGTTGCGGGTCTTAAAACCAAAACAAGGAGGCTGAAAGATGCTAAAGTGCAGTTTTAAGAAAATATGAGTGACTCTACACACCCATCAACGAACACAAACATCATTGGTTGATATTTCATCAATAGATTGTCTGGATGTGTGTATCATACTTTATATTAGAAGCAAAATAGCCCTTAAAAATTAAGTATTTTTTGTAACGTACAGTAATTCTTAATTTTTAAGCTCAGACTGAGAGAACAGATTCATTGATTGCATACACAAGACAATTTAAGTCATAAATGAACTCTGTGAATCATGTAAAAAGTTTTTGTACATGAGTAAGCCCTACAATAGTTTCCCTCTCACAAAACTGTCACCCTTCGCTTATTTACGTTGCAAATGCTCACTTTACAAAATGTTTCTGTCATCGTTTCAAGAGCCCTCACATCTCTTGGACCAAACACTCTTGATTGATGGACTCCATTAATTTAATGACAAATGATCAAAGCCCAGGAGAGAGAGCATGTTTATCAGGAGCATAATCCCAATTGAACGCCATTGAAAACAGAAACATTATTGGAGGATGAAAGCACATCTCTTTTTATCTGTGGTGATGTGCCCCAGAGGACAGCGCGGGGTTATACTCACAAGATGCTAATGATGTGTTGCCTTCTGCAGAGATCAGTCATCAATCTGTGTACGAGCCACTGTTTCCCGTCATTATTCCTATAAGGCAGCAGTGATGAACAGAAGGAGGGGAAAGGGTGATTAGGCCTCCCAACCTTTACCCCACGTGTCTTGTCATCTTCTGTTAACATCATGGCTCATTTCAAGGTGATGCTGCTTATCAATCATACTACAGTGTGAGACTTGTTCCCCTCCATTCATCAGCCGACAGACTGATGTTATTATGATATGCGCCTGTGGGGTAGCTTTCGAAAACAGTGAACAAATGTTAGCTCATCTACAGTATCTTTCACTGAATAGAATAATTTCAGCTGCAGCTTAACATATGGATTCTTGGGATATCTGATTATATTTGGTGATACCTCCAGCAATAAACAGCAGGATTGGCAAAGGAAATAGTCTAAATTAATAAAAAAGTGTGACAAGAAAATCCTTGAGTAAGAATGAAGATTTTATATTATAATTCCTTTTTCCTTTTGAGCCTTTTAGGTTAACCAAATTATTTAATAAAGATCATCTGCTTGTCTGTAATGTTAACTAGCACAAAAACACTTTCAGATGCAAAGAATGCCTGACAGTTAGACAGATAAAGACCAAATGAATACAGATGGCTGTGATATGATCAGTGCGTGACAAGGTGGCCCAGTGGTTAGAGACCACAACTGTGATGACTCAGACCACCATGCATGATAGGATATGTGAGGTTGTACACAGCTGGTCACTGAAGCACATAACAGTGGGTTTGATGGTAGATTGAAATGTGATTTATGATAAATTTGTCACTATAGCTGTGACCAAGACATATGTACATAATGCCATTTGGAGGATATGCAGTATGTTTGTAAATGCGTTTCCCTGCAAGGTCAAGGTGAATGTTGCTGCTTAGCTCAAAATTCAGTGAAAACACTCACTACATTTATCTTAAATTGTCATTCGCCTTCTCTTGCTCTCACCTCTCATTTCATTAAAAGTCATAAAATATGAAGAATATGAGACACAAATGCTGAAATTGTAGTAATATATAATTTGAGGTATGATTTTACCGATTGTTTTGAATGAAGGAAATGTGTCACTCATAAATCTTTGTGGCTCTGCAGTCTCTTTTCAGTTTACAGCTGAGTAATACACAGAAATTGTGTGACACTGACCTCTGCAGGATTATATGAGTATAGTAACGACTATCCACTCTTTCAGTTTTGTGCGTTTTAGACAGTTCAGACTTTTCTTCACAAACATGTAAACATTTGTCAGGAAAGAAAAACAAACCACATGACTACTGGGAATTGTTAATTTCCATAATTGATGAAGGTAAACATCCCAAGACACCACAGGCATTAAACAATCCAAACTGCCATTAAACTGTCTTTGCTTGCGTTCATAAGAGAGATTGA